TGTAGTAAAAGGTGTTGGGCAAAGCTTCATTATATTTTTGCAACAGTTTTTAATGATTGAATGACAGTGAGTCGCAGAATTGTAGAGAATTATTTGGAGGGAACGGTTTGGTGATGGTTATTCGCAGTGGAAGTATCGATGTGTAATAATATTGGATTTCAGTTGTTCATTTGCGATTGAACGTGAAACGGGTGCACATTCAACAGTATCAGTATAAATGTCCGCTAGTGTTGTTCTTAGCAGTTCATCGGAAGCAAAACGATTAGTGGAGAGTTTATTGGCAGATTTGAGAGCACTCTCCACGGAGGCGAAGAAGAAGCATCCTCAGGTGAAGGAGGTTGGCAACTTTTATTCAGTTTTTTAGATGTGCTGTTGATTATTTAATCATTGTTATTGTTATGTGTTTTCATTGACGCTTTTTGTCACTATTATTATTCATGTTATTATGGAAATTGCTGCTCATTATTGTAGCAATTATTATGAATGGTATATTGATGTGCAAATGAAGTTGTGGTTTAAAACATTTGAGGCTGCTGAATCGGGACTTGTCAAGATACGCAATATCACGAGTGGATCGAATGAGCAGAATTTGTTGACGAATTTAAGAAGTGCTAGCTGTGAGTTATTACAGCCGTTAACACTGGGCTGTGCGAGTAAAAATGCACGGCTGGTGCAGATCTCGTTGCAGGCCATTCAGAAGATGGTGCAGCATCGAGTTGTTGAACCGGTTNTGCACGGCTGGTGCAGATCTCGTTGCAGGCCATTCAGAAGATGGTGCAGCATCGAGTTGTTGAACCGGTTCGTTTCTTTGTTTTTGGGACTTCATTCGCGATATTATTACTGTTGTTGTTATTATTATTATTATTGATGTTCTCATCGAAACTGATTCATTATTGCTAAATAATTGTTGTTTTTTGAATAGTAATCTGAAATACGATTCATTTAATTTTAAAGGCGTCAGCTCCGATAATTGTAAACGAGTTATGGCATTTAATGGAGTGCGAATGTGAGGAATTGCGTATTCTGCAAACCCTCACACCCCTCGTCAGCACTGAACTGCTCGTGAACGGCGTCTGGCTTGCCAAGGTGAGCATTTCGTCTGGTTTGAATACGCTTTATCCAATCGTATAAGTCATTTCATTGTTTGCTTACATTGGGCAACTTCAACAACACAATTATATGAACTGTTGAATTCCTAAAAAACTTTTCCCCATGATATATCAGTCACCTGTTGGATGATGCTCGTCATCTTGTGTTTTCATACCTAGTGGCGAAGAACACTGAATTTAATTTAAGCAAATTGTTCGATTAATATGGGTGATTGCATTTTTGGAACGATAAGCAAGCAGAAGACAGTGTTATATGTGATCATTTCACTTCATTAATAGCTCCTTTTCAGTGTCTTGTGATGTGTTTTCGATTGAATTTCGCGAAAGATCCCATAGTGATCAATACAGCATCAGCTACAGTAAGGCAGATGGTTAGCTGCGTTTTTGAGCGAGTCATTCAGGTGAGTGTTTTGGGTTGTTTAGATACGATACGATTTTTGGATTTTCAGTTGGAGCAATAAGGAGAATTTATTTCAGGAAGACGGAATGAAAAGTGGTGAATTGCCGATAGTTCGACAGACAGTTAAAGTGAACGCCCGGGCTGCACCACCGTCGTTACGGCCGTGTGCTGCAGATGGGTATATGCTGTTCAGGGTTTGTTTCGTGATGAGTTTTTTGTTATTTATTGATAGTAATTTTGATTGGTGAGTGAGTCTAATCATATGTTCGTTGAAGGATTTGTGTTTGCTGATAAATGCTGACCAACCGTGTTGGCTGATCGGTATTCAAGAGATGAC